GTGCGCAGGGGGTGGTCTCTCAGCTCGGCCGCTATCCACGACACTGTCGCAAAGCCTAGCAGGCGTGGCACTTTCTCGACACCACAGGGGGTGCGCAGGGGGTGGTCTCTCAGCTCGGCCGCTATCCACGACACTGGCGCAAAGGCTAGCAGGCGTGGCACTTTCTCGACACCACAGGGGGTGCGCAGGGGGTGGTCTCTCAGCTCGGCCGCTATCCACGACACTGGCGCAAAGCCTAGCAAGCGTGGCACTTTCTCGACACCACAGGGGGTGCGCAGGGGGTGGTCTCTCAGCTCGGCCGCTATCCACGACACTGGCGCAAAGCCTAGCAGGCGTGGCACTTTCTCGACACCACAGGGGGTGCGCAGGGGGTGGTCTCTCAGCGCGGCCGCTATCCACGACACTGGCGCAAAGCCTAGCAGGCGTGGCACTTTCTCGACACCAAAGGGGGTGGGCAGGGGGTCTCTCAGCTCGGCCGCTATCCACGACACTGGCGCAAAGCCTAGCAGGCGTGGCACTTTCTCGACACCACAGGGGGTGCGCAGGGGGTGGTCTCTCAGCTCGGCCGCTATCCACGACACTGGCGCAAAGCCTAGCAGGCGTGGCACTCTCTCGACACCACAGGGGGTGCGCAGGGGGTGGTCTCTCAGCTCGGCCGCTATCCACGACACTGGCGCAAAGCCTAGCAGGCGTGGCACTTTCTCGACACCACACGGGGTGCGCAGGGGGTGGTCTCTCAGCTCGGCCGCTATCCACGACACTGGCGCAAAGCCTAGCAGGCGTGGCACTTTCTCGACACCACACGGGGGTGCGCAGGGGGTGGTCTCTCAGCTCGGCCGCTATCCACGACACTGTCGCAAAGCCTAGCAGGCGTGGCACTTTCTCGACACCACAGGGGGTGCGCAGGGGGTGGTCTCTCAGCTCGGTCCGCTATCCACGACACTGGCGCAAAGCCTAGCAGGCGTGGCACTTTCTCGACACCACAGGGGTGCGCAGGGGGTGGTCTCTCAGCTCGGCCGCTATCCACGACACTGGCGCAAAGGCTAGCAGGCGTGGCACTTTCTCGACACCACAGGGGGTGCGCAGGGGGTGGTCTCTCAGCTCGGCCGCTATCCACGACACTGGCGCAAAGGCTAGCAAGCGTGGCACTTTCTCGACACCACAGGGTGGGCAGGGGGTGGTCTCTCAGCTCGGCCGCTATCCACGACACTGGCGCAAAGCCTAGCAGGCGTGGCACTTTCTCGACACCACAGGGGGTGCGCAGGGGGTGGTCTCTCAGCTCGGCCGCTATCCACGACACTGGCGCAAAACCTAGCAGGCGTGGCACTTTCTCGACACCACAGGGGGTGCGCAGGGGGTGGTCTCTCAGCTCGGCCGCCATCCACGACACTGGCGCAAAGCCTAGCAGGCGTGGCACTTTCTCGACACCACAGGGGGTGCGCAGGGGGTGGTCTCTCAGCTCGGCCGCTATCCACGACACTGGCGCAAAGCCTAGCAGGCGTGGCACTTTCTCGACACCACAGGGGGTGCGCAGGGGGTGGTCTCTCAGCTCGGCCGCTATCCACGACACTGGCGCAAAGCCTAGCAGGCGTGGCACTTTCTCGACACCACAGGGGGTGCGCAGGGGGTGGTCTCTCAGCTCGGCCGCTATCCACGACACTGGCGCAAAGCCTAGCAGGCGTGGCACTTTCTCGACACCACAGGGGGTGCGCAGGGGGTGGTCTCTCAGCTCGGCCGCTTCACGACACTGGCGCAAACCTAGCAAGCGTGGCACTTTCTCGACACCACAGGGGGTGCGCAGGGGGTGGTCTCTCAGCTCGGTCGCTATCCACAACACTGTCGCAAAGCCTAGCAGGCGTGGCACTTTCTCGACACCACAGGCGGTTCGCAGGGGGTGGTCTCTCAGCTCGGCCGCTATCCACGACACTGTCGCAAAACCTAGCAGGCGTGGCACTTTCGCGACACCACAGCGGGTGCGCAGGGGGTGGTCTCTCAGCTCGGCCGCCATCCACGACACTGGCGCAAAGCCTAGCAGCCGTGGCACTTTCTCGACACCACAGGGGGTGGGCAGGGGGTGGTCTCTCAGCTCGGCCGCTATCCACGACACTGGCGCAAAGCTTTGCAGCCGTGGCACTTTCTCGGCACCACAGGGGGTCTCTGAGCGCGGCCGCCACCCACGACACTGTCGCAAAGCTCAGCAGGCGTGGGACTCTCCCGGGACTATAGGGCCAGCGCAGGGGGTGATCTCTTGGTGCAGTGATTATCCACCGCATTGCGCGTGAGAGCTTGCGTCTTACCCTGATCCGTAAACATCGCGGCTCAAGCCGGCGGAACCCCACATTGGTGACTACCTCGAATCGGTCCTCGATGGAGGATAGAAGGCTGGGAAGAGGGAGGAGGGTCAAGCAATTTGGCGTTGGATGACCCATAGGGAACATTCGCGACGAGGGCTCAGAACGCAGGATTGTGCATATATATATATTATACATAAGCAAACACATAAGATTTAAATTAAGTATGTGGGGTTCCTCGGTAGCGTAATTTTCGCTGCTTTTTCTGGTGTTTGCAACCTCTTTGGTTGTCGACGCCTTACTGGTTTTCGGCGCTCTGTTGGTTTCCGGCGTCCTTTTCAAGTTCGGCAACATTTTGGTTTTTGGCGCCCTTTTTGGTTTCGGTGCTCCTTTGGTTTTCGGCGCCCTTTTGGCTTTAGGCGCTGCTCTGGTTCTCGGCGCCCCTTTTGGTTTTTGGCGCCTCTTTGGTTTTCGGCGCCCCGCTGGTCTTCGGAGCCCTTTTTGGTTTTCGGCGCCTCTCTGGTTTTCGGCGTTCGTTCGGTTTTCGGCGCCTTTTGGTTTTCGGCGCCCCTTTGCTTTTCGGTGCCCTTTTGGTTTTCGGCGCTCCTTAGGTTTTCGGTGTCCTTTTGGTTGTCGGCGCCCTCTTGGTTGTTCGCGCCGCTTTGGTTTTTCGGCGCTACTTTGGTTTTCGGCGCTCCTGTGGTTTTCGGCGCCGTCTTGATTTTCGGCGCGCCTTGGGTTTTCGGCGCCCTTTCTGTTTTCGGCGTTCCTTCAGTTTTTTTTTTTTTTTTTTTTGTTTTGTGTTTTTCTGTTTTCGCACACTTGCGGTTTTCGGTGGCTCTTTGGTTTTCGGTGCTCTGTTTGTTTTCGGCGCCCTTCTGGTCCTCGGCGCTCCTTCCTTTAGCAAAGGGGGGGGGTCCTCCAAGCCCCTCGCCTGTTTGCCCCAAAGGGGGGGGCCTTCTGGCACGGGGGGTTCAAAGGGGGTGGGTGGGTAGCGAAACCCCACCCCCTTGCGAAAGGGAGGGGCGGGGTAGCTTCCGGAGTGCGAAAGGAGGGGAGGGGGAGGGCGGCTTCCAGAAGGGGGGTTCAGGCGGGGGGGGGTAGTTAGGCCCCCCCCCCTCGGTTTGGGCAGGGGCTTCCAGCGCGACAGGGAAGGGGAGGGGGGGGGGCAGCTTCCGAGGGGCGGAACAAAAAGGGGCGTGGAGGGTTTTCTGGCAGGGGAGGTCCAAGGGATGGGGGGGTAGCTAAAGGGGGACGCCCCCCCTTTGGGAGCGTGCCACGGGCACGCTCTCTCTTGTATACTTCACGATGGGGCCGTGGCCTCGTGGACGCAAGTTTCGCGTGATCGGAGGTTGGGAAGTGAGTCCGACGTGAAACGGAGACCTCCCTACCGGGAAATCGATTTCGGTTTCGGTTTCGGGTTCGTGTCGTGCGTGCGGGCGAGGCGAAGCTGCGTGGGCGGGCGAGAGGAAATCCTCCTGTGGCTGGGCCGCGGCTGGACCAAATGTTACTCCTCTGGCGGCCGGTGCCGCGCGGTGTCCCGCCGGTGTCCCGCGGGTGTCCCGAAATCCTCCTGTGGCTGGGCCGCAGCCGGACCAACTGTTCCTCCTCCAGCGGCTGGTGCCGCGCGGTGTCCCGCCGGTGTCCCGTGTTGTCCCGTGGTGCCCCGTTGAGTGAGACCGATCGTGAGATCGATAGTGAGATCGATACTGAGATCGATGTGGTGCCCCGAGGTGTCCCGTGGTGTCCCGTGGTGTCCCGTGGTGTCCCGTTGAGTGAGATCGATCGTGAGATCGATACTGAGATCGATGTGGTGCCCCGAGGTGTCCCGAGGTGTCCCGTGGTGTCCCGTGGTGTCCCGCTGAGTGAGATCGATAGTGAGATCGATACTGAGATCGACAGGTGTCCCGAGGTGTCCCGTGGTGTCCCGTTGAGTGAGATCGATAGTGAGATCGATCGCGAGATCGATAGTGAGATCGATGTGGTGTCCCGACGTGTCCCGTGGTGTCCTATGGTGTCCCGCTGAATGAGATCGATAGTGAGATCGATAGTGAGACCGACAGTGAGATCGAGAGGTGTCCCGCGGTGTCCCGTGGTGTCCCGTGGTGGCCCGTGGTGTCCCGTGGTGTCCCGTGGTGTCCCGTGGTGTCCCGTTGAGTAAAATGTTGGTTCCCCCCGTCTCCCCCCCCCACAACTTTCTTACCACCCGAAGGGTGGTCGTATAGGTCTATGAGCTTATTTGTATGTGTCCCAGGCCCCCCCCCCCAGGCAGGGGCGTGGTAAATTAGACACTTTTGTTTTCCCCTCTTCGCGCGGACTTCAACAATTTACAGTAGAAGTAGGATGTAGGATTCTAACATTGGGTTCTTGAAACTGGAACTGGAGCAAAGAACAGCAAACCGAACCCCGCTGCCTGATGTCCCCACAAGGGGGCCCGCGGATGTTCTAGATTTGCCTCCTCCTTCTTCTCCTTCTCCTCCTCTTCCTCCTCTTCCTCCTCCCCCTCCTCCTCTCCTTCCAGCGGGATGACTTGTCCCGATAAGGCCTGATCTTGCCATTGGGTCCTTGTCCATCAGCGAGTGCCCGCCAGAGCAGGGTCAAATGTCCTCCCTCCCTTCCTCCGTCGACAATGCCGTGTCCACCGAACTTCGATCGTTCAGCATACTTCGGTGGAGAGTTGGTGTAGTGTTTGCGGCGAGACACAGACAGGCCTGCAGCGTCGGAGAGGACCTGGAGGCCCTTGCCTCGCAGCCGCTGAGAAACATCTGTAAGAGGCACCTGCTCTACGAGGGCAGCCAGGACAAGGTAGGCGACAGCCTCCCCTTCGACCTCGACGACCACCCTGCGATGAAGCACGCGGTGGCCCAGGGCATGATCGTGAGGCTGGTGAAGGAGATGAAGCAGTACGCCAGCATGCGCAACACGGAGCGCTACCCGCTCCTGTTGGAGCTCGACGTCGAGGGCGTGGTCGCCGACGCTCCGGGCAAGCAGCAGGCGGCCGCGCAGCAGCTGACCGCGGTCAAGCAGGCCCTGGAGGCGCGCAAAACGGAGGACGAGCGGCTGCTGGCGCAGCTGATCGACAAGCTCTTCATCTCTGTCGACACGTTGCCGAGCCTCGGAGAGGACCCCGGCGGCTCCGAGCGTGCTTTTCCCATCTGTGGAGCTTTGCGACTCCCCCCGCCCGCAGCTCGGGACTGTGTGGGCAGGATGCTGGCAATTCTTCGAAGAGGTCCCGAATCGGTGCGGTGAACACACCGTTGGGTGAGTCAGCGGGGATTCGAGGGTGACCGCACGGTTCGGGGCCTTGGTCATTCTACGAGGGTGTCTCGGGCGACTGGGGTTCCCAAGGTCCCAGAGGCGTGCGGTGACAGACCGTGCGGTGAGGTCTTTCGCATAGTCACCGCATTGTTTGTCACCACCGTTTGTCACCGCACGATCTGTCATCGCGCCGTTTGGGGACCCCCAAGTTCTCGGCGCCGAGGGCCCCTAGATCTGAGGGGCGGGGGAAGCAGGCAAGTACACAAGGGCGTTCCCACCTAGCCATTGAAGGTCTCGCTCTGCGATGCACGACGTCCCATGGATTCCTGTTGCTGGCAGGAAGGGGGAGCGCATTCAAGTTCATTGTTCTCAAATTGTGACAGTTTGAAAGTTTGGAGCGTCAGAAGTGTGAACATTTGGAGTAAAACGCGGCAGCACAGCCTGAGATGCTGAAATTGTGAAATTTGAAAGTTTGAACCGTGCAGAGTCTTCGCATTCTTCCAACCTTCCATATATTACAGCAGTGTTATTCTCAAGCTTTCGCGCTCACATATGTGTCGATTTATAATGTGCTCCATCAGCCAATCTTCCAAACTCAAAAACTTGTTCAATCTGTTTGAAGACAGCTTCACACGTTGAACGTTTGAACACTGAAGAGTTTGAATTTTTGAAAGTTTGAACGGTTGAAAGTTGGAAGGGTTGAACGTTGAAGGTTTGAACGTTTGAAACTTTGAAAGTTCGACCATTTGAAGATCTGATAGTCCGAACAGGGTTTCGTATCCATGCGTGTTTTTCTTTCTCTATGAGTCGATCCGGCCCGTTCTGGGCCGATTTGGGATTTCTGTTTGACCATGGGTTGGAGATGGGAGAAATGCAAGTGCGAATGGAATGGGTTCGTTTTGTTTTCACCCCTCAGGCAGTGCCGCGTGACGAACATAATGGACAATTTTTTTTTCTGCCCCAGGCTTGGACACGTGGCGAATCAAGTAAAAGAGTGCATTTCTAGTCCCACTTCGTTGCCACGCGACGAGTATAACGCATAACTCACTCATCTGTTTGTCTGCCTCTTGGCGGTCCACTGTGGTGGCAAATAAGAGAGGTTTGTGTACGTAGCGCGTAGAATGGTGCGTTTTGTTACGCCTTCCCAGCCTTGCCGCGTGACGCGCAGAGTGATTTTTTGGTTTCGCGCTCCGAGGCGTTGCCACGTGGCGAGTAGAGTGGAATGGCATGTTTTCGGCCCCAAGCGTTTCCGCGTGATGAGTAGAGTGGAGTAGTCTTTGTTTCCGCCCCTCTGTGTTGCCATGTGGCGTGTAGAAACGTATAGTAGGCTTGTTCCGCGCGCAAAGCGTTTTGGCGTGACGAATCGAGCGGGGTCGTATTTTTTCGCCCCCCCCAGGCGTTGCCACCTGGCGGGTCGAGTAGAGTAGGCTGTTTCCGATCCCGGGCGAGGTGGCTTGACGAGTAGAGTGGGATAGTATTTGATTATGCTCCTTTGCGGGGCTACGCGGCGCGTAGAAGTCCATAACTGATTGTGCTGCCCGGGTTGCCTCGTGACGAGTGGGGTGGAATATTATGTTTTTTGTCCACCCAGGCGTGCTCGTTGCCGCGTGACGAGTACATCGAGTATTTTTTGTTCGCCCCGCGTCGTTGCCACGCGACGAGTGGAGTGGAATCGTATTCTTCTGCCCGGAGGCGTTGCCACGTGGCGGGTAGACTGGGATCTAATGTCCTCTTCTCTGCGTTGCCACGTGGCGTCTAGAAAGGTATCGCCGTTTTTTTTGCTCGCGCGCTAGGCGTTGCCGCTTGGCGAGTAGAGTGGGGTAATAGATGTTTCGCTCTCTTAGGCATTGCCACGTGTCGAGTCGGGCGACGGTTTTTGCTCGCTCATTCGAGTCGTCACGCGGTGTTCAGAAGCGTGTATTTTTGCCCCTGCTAGGAGTTGCCGCGTCACAAGTAGAATTGTGTCGGAAGTTTCAAAGTTTCAAGCATACTTGTTGTTCAACTTTCAAATTTCAGGTCAACATATTCCAGCTCTGAAGCGAACTTGTTGCTTTCCAGCCTTTAGTTGTCAAGATTTTGAACGTTCGAATTTCGAAGCCTTTCATTTAACGCACTTGGAGGAGGCGCCTGCGACCACGCTCCTTGCGACTCGTGGTTTCATGAATAGCGGATGCCGCCTGGGCCCCTGTGCCCCTTGTGCCCAGTGGTGCGGCCCCCAGTGCCCAGAGTGTCCTGCGTGCCCTGCTCGGGGGGTGTCTCCTTCCTCTTTGGTGTACTGTTTGCCTCGTGTGCATCATTCGCCACGCTCTGCTGTTCAGGGCTGCCTTGCAGGGTGCACCTCTTCCCATCTCCTTGCGTGCCTCTCGCTGGCCCAGGACACTGGTGACCCCGACCAGCTGCGCTTCTGGCTTCTGCGGACCTCCGAGCACGAGACCCGCATGTGGTTCGAGCTGCTTTGCCGTTCGCTGCTGAGCCCGGACATCGTGGGTGACTTCCGACGCTTCAACCCCTTCCTCACAGAGGAGTCGCGAGCGACGAACGTATCCACGTCCATGCCCTCGCAGTCTGGTTACCGAGGCGCGACCCTGCGGGCACGCGATCCCATGGATGCGCTCCGCGAGGGTCATCCGCGCAAAGCCGCCCTGTAGCCACGGGGTCGCCGCTGCGGAGTCCAGACCGCGAAGTCGTGGATGTGGATGTGCTTCCCGCCCGCGAGAGGACGAGGTGGACAGGGGTGACATCAAGGGGAGGACTGCAGCAAAAGGACCTCGCTCAAAAACCAGAAGTTCTGCGATCGGGGACTTTCTGGCGCATTGTCGGAGGTGCACGGGCGGCGCCAGGCCACTGGGTTCCCCCCCTGAGCTGCCCCCCTCCCCCTCTTTGGGAGCCACGCCGCCCAGGTGGAGGAGCTGATGCGGATCGTGATGCACATGATGCTCATCACGTCCAGGCGCAACCAGACGGGCAGGGCGCTCGACAACTGCCGCGACCTGGCGCGCATGCTGGAGGAGTCTAGGCCTCCCAGATGGGGCCGGGGTAGATGGGGTCGGAGGATCGCGCCGTATCGCCGATGCATCGCCGCATCGCCGATACATCGACGATGCATCGACGATGCCTCGGCGATGCAGCTCGATGTGGAGCCCGATCTTCTCCACGCCGATGTGTCGCCCGCCGATGCATCGCCGATACCTCGGCGATATGCAGTGCAGTCCTCTGGCCCCATCTCTTGGCAGCGCTCGGACGTGTCCATTTTTTCTCACCAGGGAGCATCGAGGCGCATTTTGGGTCAGATCGCGAAGAAAGATATGCACGAAACCGAGAAATGCACGGGGAATGGACGTCCGAGCGATGGCGAGACCTGCTCGGACCCCGTGTGGGAGGCGTCTAAAAGGAGGGGGCTGGCGACCGCACGGCCGCGGCCCGCCGGGCGGGCCTCCTGGAGAAGGCCAGCCTGCTGTGCAGCTCCCTGGCGGCGGTGCGCACCTACGTGAGGGACGGCGCGGCCTTCGACCCGAGGCCCTCTTGAGGGTGTCCTCCAAACATGTGAGATGTGTAGCACTGCCCAGGAGCGCAAGAACGGCCTACACGTACACGAATCCACGTTGGTTTCGAGAGTATGAATTGCGCGAACGTTCGTATCACGAGGCTGGTCTCGCGGACTGGGGAGCCGTGTTCATGTACGTTGTTGTCTGAGCTAGGCCGGGACGCTTGTCCGCAGCGGTGGTCGTCCGTTCGGTCGTTGGGGCTTCTGAGGGGTCGCCGTCGCCGAGGATCCAGGATTCAGGATCGAGGATTTCAGATAGAAAGTCACGGAAGCTTCTGCTCGTCTTGCATCGAATGTATATCCGTAAGGGCTTCGCCCCCTGCCGCCGGCGCCCTGTCTATCATAATGGGATGTGTCAGAGTCGCGTCGGAGCGTCTCGGCGCTGCGTTGGCGCATCTGGGAACATCATGCGGGGGCGGATAGGACTCATCAGCGCATATCGAGACATTGGCGTTATCCTAGTGTCTTTCGGCTAATCCCCCTACCGTGCCTGGGATCTGGGTCTGAGGTCTCTTGTGCATGTGTTGGGGTGTCGTGGAGAGCCTCTCGGGGGCCTCTTGGAGGCGGTTTAGGCGCTTCTTGGGGGCCTCTTGGGACCTCATGGGGTATCTTTTGGGCCTCTTGGAGGCCTCTTGGGCAAATATTGTATAACTTACAAATGTTTATGTCCTCGGGGACGCGAAAATGGCGTAATTTACATGGGTTTGTAGCCTCGGGGTCGCAAACATGGTGTACATTACAAAGGTTTATTGCCTCGGGGGCGCGAATATGGTATAACTTACAAGGGTTTATGGCTTTCGTGACGCGAAGATGGTGTAATTGACAAGGGTTTATGGCTTCAGGGGCGCAACTATTGTATAATCTACAAGGGTTTATGGCCTCGGGGGCGCGTGCTTTACGAGAGTTGTGGCCTCGGGCTTTGAAGGAGGGGCAAAGGCGAGAAGTAGCGAGCGTTTGTCCGCGGCCATTTTGGCCCAAGCATCCAGCCTTCCATGTGACCGTGTCGCGCCGCGACACGCTACCAAGCATCGATACGGAAAAATGGTTCCACCCTTTACTCTTGAGATGCTACAACGCTTACGCGGTCATCTCTTCTCTCTTGCCCTATCGCTACCGCGATACGACAGACCGAGTAAGTGGCTACGTCTAAGACGCAGTATATGGTCAGGCCCACCATCCCATTGTAAACTTGGTAGCGGAGCTGACCGCTGGTGGCCAGCTCTAGCTCTATTCCTTGCTATCCACGGCGCTATCTGGTGAACTACTGCTATGGTGGACCATCAGGGCGCAGTGGCTCTACGTGGAGGAGACCATGACCATCGCAAGGACACTTGCACTGAAGCTTCTGCTTACGCAGAGGTCTCCTACCTGAGCCCAGCATGTCTGCGCTACTATACTCCTAAAGGCCACCCGCCAACGCCAATAGGTAACTTCTTCGAAAACACTATGCATGGTAACGTGCGTTATGAACGCGAGCCTCTTGCACCTCCTCGCAAGCTGATGGTAACGTCAGCTAGTGACCAACAACCCACCACCGACGCCGACCTACGAGACGAGGCCACTGGATCAACATTACTATCTTTGGTGTCCTCTGGTCGCTCTCGGATGTGTTGTTGGACATGCAGCGAGGCGCGGACGATACGCGTGCTACTGGCCCTCACTGGGGTCCAGCCGGTAGCGTGCCCTTCCGCGAGTACGTTCGCGAGGTGCACGCGTGGATCAACGTGGCTCCAGGCACCATGGCTCCCTCCCAACAGGCCGCTGCCTTACAGCGTGGCCTGGGAGGCCTGGCAAGGACCATTGCCATGAGAGTCCCCCCAGAGGGTAACCTATATATAGTTCCTCCTCAGCACAAAGTTCGAGAACCTCGAGGACGGCTCTCATCGAGGACGGCTCTCATCGACTCAGCTCAAGCTCTCATCGACTCTCATCGACTCGAGGACCTCAGCTCAAACTCGAGGACGGCTCTCATCGACTATCGCGTCCATGCAGGATAACGGATCGACCAGACGCTGGCCCGTTTCGAAATCGTACGCTTCGAAGCCGACGCTGCGGGTTTCAACATCTCAAACTTCCAAATCCTGACAATCATAGTCTTCACGGCCCTAGGTGCCGGCACCTCTCGTGTACAACAACTACTGCAACCACTGAACCAGTAAATGCCAAAGACTCAGCAACAATTCGATTATTTAGAGGGCTTATGCCCACATTGCTGAGCGCATTCCTGGCAACGCTGGTGGAATCTTCCATCAGGACCACGCGCGCCGATGTCTTCCACAGCAACACTCGCGCGGGGAAACCTGCCAGTGCAGCCTGGAACGACGATCCACAACCTACCGACGCTACCACTCTGATAAGCCAACAAGGCCAACCCGCGAAGCCCGACGTGTACTCTTCCTTCGACTCGGGCGCAGGTGCCGACGCGTCGTCAGATGACTGCACTGAGCCCATAGACTTCTCCGATGTGCCTGTGCACCTCACCGAAGAACAACATGGCGATATATATTTATTTATATATATATATATACATTGAGGTGGCACACGGGGTTCCCCAAAAGGCCTGAAGACGAAGACGCTATTTGAAGACGCTATTGGCCAGGGGCGGTCGAGCGGGTGAAGACGCTAATCGCTTTGAAGACGCAATTGCGCAATCACAGGGTGAAGACGCAAATGCGCTTGAAGACGCAATTCCGTTTGAAGACGCAAATGTGCTTGAAGACGCTATTCCCGGCGAGGATCCCCATTCCCGGGGAATATGACGCTATTCCCGGCGCAGACGCTATTCCTGGCGCAGACGCTATTCCCGGCGCAGACGCTATTCCCGGCGAAGACGCTATTCCCAGCGAAGACGCTATTCCCGGCGAAGACGCTATTCCCGGCGAAGACGCTATTCCAGGCGAAGACGCTATTCCCGGCGAAGACGCTATTCCCGGCGAAGACGCTATTCCCGGCGAAGACGCTATTCCCGGCGAAGACGCTATTCCCGGCGAAGACGCTATTCCCGGCGAAGACGCTATTCCCGGCGAAGACGCTATTCCCGGCGAAGACGCTATTCCCGGCGCAGACGCTATTCCCGGCGCAGACGCTATTCCAGGCGCAGACGCTATTTCCGCCGCGGACAGGCCCATTGGAGGCTCCCGGAGACCCCCCGCCGCGGACAGGGCTAGTGTTTTTTTGCAGTTTTGGGTAGTAATGGTCCCGGGAGGTCCCGTTTGGCATGGTGTCGGGCCTTCGATTTGGCATGGTGTCGGGCCCCCTGTCCGCGGCGGATGGTCTCTGGTGGGGAATCGGGGCCAGATTCTCCACGGGAGACCCCCCGCCGCGGACAGGGCTAGTGTTTTTTTGCAGTTTTGGGTAGTAATGGTCCCGGGAGGTCCCGTTTGGCATGGTGTCGGGCCTTCGATTTGGCATGGTGTCGGGCCCCCTGTCCGCGGCGGATGGTCTCTGGTGGGGAATCGGGGCCAGATTCTCCACGGGAGACCCCCCGCCGCGGACAGTGATGGTTTTTTTTTGCAGTTTTGGCTGGTCTGTTTTTTTTTGCAGTTTTGGGTAGTAATGGTCCCGGCAGGTCCCGTTTGGCATGGTGTCGGATGGTGTTTTTTTGCAGTTTTGGGTATATTTTGGTGATTTTCAGTGTTTTTTGTTGTGATTTTGGCATTATTTTAATGATTTCTGGTGTTTTTTTGCAGTTTTGGGTAGTCATGGTCCCGGGAGGTCCCGTTTGGCATGGTGTCGGGCCCCGTCCGCGGCGGATGGTCTCTGGTGGGGAATCGGGGCTAGATTCTCCACGGGAGACCCCCGCCGCGGACAGGGCTAGTGTTTTTTTGCAGTTTTTTAATGTTTTTTGCAGTTTTGGGTAGTAATGGTCCCGGGAGGTCCCGTTTGGCATGGTGTCGGGCCTTGGATTTGACATGGTGTCGGGCCCCTTCGAAACCCCGCCCCGGGAGGTCCCGTTTGGCATGGTGTCGGGCCCCGTCCGCGGCGGATGGTCTCTGGTGGGGAATCGGGGCCAGATTCTCCACGGGAGACCCCCCCGCCGCCGGACAGGGCTTAGGTTTTTTGCAGGTTTATGGGTAGTAATGGTCCGGGAGGTCCCGTTTGACAGGTGTCGGGCCTTGGATTTGATGGTGTCGGGCCCACATTCGAAAACCCGCCCCGGGCACGGTCCCGTTGGGCATGGTGTCGGGCCCGTCCGCGGCGATTGGTCTCCCGTGGGAATCGGGGCCAGATTCTCCACGGGAGACCCCCCGCCGCGGACAGGGCGTGTTTTTTTTTGCAGGTTTGGGTAGTAATGGTCCCGGGAGGTCCCGTTTGGCATGGTGTCGGGCCTTGGATTTGACATGGTGTCGGGCCCCTTCGAAAACCCGCCCCGGGAGGTCCCGTTTGGCATGGTGTCGGGCCCCGTGCGCGGCGGATGGTCTCTGGTGGGGAATCGGGGCCAGATTCTCCACGGGAGACCCCCCGCCGCGGACATTGCTATTGTTTTTTTTTTTTTTTTGCAGTTTTGGGTAGTAATGGTCCCGGGAGGTCCCGTTTGCCATGGTGTCGGGCTTTAGATTTGACATGGTGTCGGGCCCCTTCGAGAACCCGCCCCGTGAGGTCCCGTTTGGCATGGTGTCGGGCCCCGTCCGCGGCGGATGGTCTCTGGTGGGGAATCGGGGCCAGATTCTCCACGGGAGACCCCCGGCCGCGGACAGTGATGGTGTTTTTTTGCAGTTTTGAATATATTTTGGTGATTTTCAGTGTTTTTTGTTGTGATTTTGGCTTATTTTAATGATTTCTGGTGTTTTTTTTGCAGTTTTGGGTAGTAATGGTCCCGGGAGGTCCCGTTTGGCATGATGTCGGGCCCCGTCCGCGGCGGATGGTCTCCCGTGGGGAATCGGGGCCAGATTCTCCACGGGAGACCCCCGCCGCGGACAGGGCTAGTGTTTTTTTGCAGTTTTGGGTAGTAATGGTCCCGGGAGGTCCTGTTTGTCATGGTGTCGGGGCTTCGAAAACCCGCCCCGGGAGGTCCACGGGAGACCCCCCGCCGCGGACAGGGCTAGTGTTTTTTTGCAGTTTTGGGTAGTAATGGTCCCGGGAGGTCCCGTTTGACATGGTGTCTGGCCTTGGATTTGACATGGTGTCGGGCCCCTTCGAAAACCCGCCCCGGGAGGTCCCGTTTGGCATGGTGTCGGGCCCCGTCCGCGGCGGATGGTCTCCCGTGGGGAATCGGGGCCAGATTCTCCACGGGAGACCCCCCGCCGCGGACAGGGCTAGTGTTTTTTTGCAGTTTTGGGTAGTAATGGTCCCGGGAGGTCCCGTTTGACATGGTGTCGGGCCTTGGATTTGACATGGTGTCGGGCCCCTTCGAAAACCCGCCCCGGGAGGTCCCGTTTGGCATGGTGTCGGGCCCCGTCCGCGGCGGATGGTCTCCCGTGGGGAATCGGGGCCAGATTCTCCACGGGAGACCCCCCGCCGTGGACAGGGCTAGTGTTTTTTTGCAGTTTTGGGTAGTAATGGTCCCGGGAGGTCCCGTTTGGCATGGTGTCGGGCCTTCGAAAACCCGCCCCGGGAGGTCCCACTAGCCCTGTCCGCGGCGGGGGGTCTCCAGTGGGGAATCGGGGCCAGATTCTCCACGGGAGACCCCCCGCCGCGGACAGGGCTAGTGTTTTTTTGCAGTTTTGGGTAGTAATGGTCCCGGGAGGTCCCGTTTGGCATGGTGTCCGGGCCCCGTCCGCGGCGTTTTGTTGTTTTGGGCATGTTTTAGTGATTTTCATTTTTTTTTTTTTTTTTTTTTTTTTTTTTTTTTTTTTTTTTTTTTTTTTTTTTTTTTTTTTGTGATTTTGGGCATATTTTAATGATTTCCAGTGTTTTTTTAGTGATTTTGGGTATACTTTACTGATTTTCAGTGTTTTTTTTTGTGATTTTGGCAATATTTTAATGATTTCTAGTGTTTATTTGTAGTTTAGGTTTAGGTTTAGGTTTAGGTTTAGGTTTAGGTTTAGGTTTCGGTTTAGGTTTAGGTTTAGGTTTATGTTTAGGTTTCGGTTTCGGTTTCGGTTTCGGTTTAGGTTTAGGTTTAGGTTTAGGTTTAGGTTTAGGTTTAGGTTTCGGTTTCGGTTTCGGTTTCGGTTTCGGTTTAGGTTTAGGTTTCGGTTTAGGTTTAGGTTTAGGTTTAGGTTTAGGTTTAGGTTTAGGTTTAGGTTTAGGTTTAGGTTTAGGTTTAGGTTTAGGTTTAGGTTTAGGTTTAGGTTTAGGTTTAGGTTTAGGTTTAGGTTTAGGTTTCGGTTTAGGTGTAGGTTTAGGTTTAGGTTTAGGTTTCCAGTGTTTTTTTAGTGATTTTGGGCATTTTTCAGTGATTTTCAGTGTTTTTTTTTTTGTGATTTTGGCCATATTTTAATAATTTCTAGTGTTTTTTTGCAGTTTTGGGTAGTAATGGTCCTGGCAGGTCCCGTTTGGCATGGTGTCGGGCCTTCGATTTGGCATGGTGTCGGGCCCCCTGTCCGCGGCGGATGGTCTCTGGTGGGGAATCGGGGCCAGATTCTCCACGGGAGACCCCCCGCCGCGGACAGGAGCAAGTGTTTTTTTTTTGCAGTTTTGGGTATCAAATGGTCCCCGGGAGTTCCCGTTTGACATGGAGTCGGGGCCTTGGATTTGACATGTTGTCGGGCCCCTTCGAAAACCCGCCCCGGGAGGTCTTGTTTGGCATGGTGTCGAGCCCCGTCCGCGGCGGATGGTCTCTGGTGGGGAAACGGGGCCAGATTCTCCACGGGAGACCCCCCGTCGCGGACATGCCAATTATTTTTTTTGCACTTTTGGGTAATAATGATCCCGGGAGATCCCGTTTGATATGGTGTCGGGCCTTAGATTTGACATGATGTCGAACCCCTTCGAAAACCCGCCCCGGGAGATCCCGTTTGGCATGGTGTCGGGCCCCGTCCACGGCGGATGGTCTCTGGTGGGGAATCGGGGCCAGATTCTCCACGGGAGACCCCCCGCCGCGGACAG